ATCATGTCGAAAAGGCATTCTCGGGGCATAACCCGCACGACTTCGCTCGCCCTCGAAAATTGATGCGAAGTTGCTGCGTGAAATTACGGTATTATCATCATCCTCATCATCATAATTATTATCACTTTATCTATTATTATTATTATTATTGCTGTTATTATTAATATTATTGTAATTATTATTATTATTATTAATAATATTATTACTATTACTATTATAATTATTATGGTTATGGTTATCATTTATATTTTCACTATCATTATAGTCGTTATCAGTAATATTATCATTATTACTATCACTATTATCATTATTGATATCATCATCATCATCGTTCTCATCATTGTCATTATTATGTTGTTCCTATCATTATCATCTAGACTGCTCATATCATTATCCTTTTTAGGATCATTATCATTTATATGAATGCAAACACTTAAACGTGGCCGTATGCATAAACCTATGCAATATACATACAAGCGCTGGACTAAAAATATATTGAGACAAACGTACAAATAGAAAGGTGTCCATCTTATCGTGGGGATGACAAAGCGCCAGGGAGGTCTGGAAAAGCAAACCTAGTCCTGCTTCTGTTATAAACCAAGCAGAATTCAGTACACTAGCGGCATTTGGCATCTGATTCAGTGTCACGTCAGGTGCATTTCGAATTTTCGGAGCAACTGGTCGCATATTGTTCGGATCACTGTCAGCGAGAAAAAAATGTTATAATTGCCTTGTTGTTAGGTAATACAGGAAGTACTTTTTCCGAGTTGCACATTTTCCTACGGAAATGTAGGTTTCGAAAGTGCCGATTAAAAAGATTGATTTTAGTTTTGCCAGTTTGTATCCACTATCATCATTTCTTCTCACTGCCATCACAGCCATCAGCAATTGCTCCATCTAATTTTACGTTTATCATTGTTCAGTTAATGTATATAAACGCATTTTGACCTTTCGCATGATTTGCAGATAATTACGAATACTTCAATGAAATATTCTACAGGAATACGAGCACATATTCTGTCAGGATCATGGCATGATCTTGACGCATTGTTACATTTGACGTTGATATGTTGCACATGGTTGATAAAAAAGTATTACTGATTTTGAAAAGCATGCTTGCCTCGCAATTTTTGAAGTAAAGTTTGGAGGTTAAGACAATTCGTGGGATTCCCATATAGATTGCTGAAATTGTGTAATTTGGAACTCAGGGGACCAAAGGAGAAAAAGGTATCACGAGAACTTCGGTATCATCACACTGACAGCAATTTTGTTATGTAAATGTGTATCCTGATTTGGAGTCAGCCTGACAATAATGTTCCCATGCTGATAATACCTACTACACTGCCGGCCTTCCGTTGTCAGATGCCTAAGACAGTCGGGAATTTTGTAGCTTAGGCAATAGTAAAGAAAAGAAAATGAAGAAAGTTCTTTCAGAACCAAGTAGTTCTCCCACGAAGAGCTCCCTTATCTCAAGGGAAACACCGAACCCTTTGGCATCCAGCCCGAAAGAAAAGAACTGATTGACGCCAGATACCGAGGAGCAGCTTGTCGCACCAGAGGAGCTGCATTTCTTCCGTACTTCAGTCAGAAAGGCGAACTAGTTTTCTACAAAAAATGTTTAGGGAATACTGCAGAAAGAAACATTAACCCGAAGACTAACGTCTTTTTAATTATAATTCTGTCAGAAGCCTAAATTGTTTCTTATTGCACTTTGGAATACCAGTTACCCACACTAAAGTACTGAAACAGGAGTATGAGCATCAAAACAGTCTTGACCAATGTCCACTACGAATACAACCAATGATCCATTTGTTTTGAACAGTGAACTTTTCCGCAAGGGCAGCAAAGTGGATGGACGGAGTTCTCTTGTTTCCTGCGACCAGAGGACAGGAGAACGAAGCAAGATAACTGGAAGGAAAAAGATTGGAGCTCACGGAAAACCATGCATTGTTTCAAAATGTACTTCACATCTGGATGCCAGTTGAGCATAAAGCTACGTAATATTCATGACCACCTCGCCAATATTCCAGGAATCTTGATTTTAGTGATGAATAGGAAAAAAAAAATCCATAACGACGTCAAAGTAGCGTTGGAAAGATACCAGGGCAGACGGGGGGAAAATTGATGGCCGGGAAAGCCATACACGAATGTCATAGAACCATTGTTTTCGTCGTTACTGACGTATTCTTTACTCTGCCCTGAGTAAATTATCTTACTTTGAATTTATATCACACATATATACATATATGCATGTAAGTATATTTGACGCACTCACACATGTATATGTGTATGAGTGTGGTTCATAAGGACAAGCATACACATAAAAAACGGAAAAGGATTACTTAAGCATGATTATTGTGTTTCATAAATTTCCGTTTTCCCTATTTTCTTCCATTCTCTTTCTCCCATCTTCGTTTAGCTTTCTTATTCATCTTCTTCCTTTAGATCTTGTCCGTTAGCTTTCTCTTTCGATCTCCCATAATAAAGGGAAAATGCGAAT